TGGCTATTTTAATAACTGCTGCTAAATTAGGCCAAGCTTGTACTAAAGCTCTGAATTGGCAATCACAATAAGAAGTTATCCCAAGAAGTCTGTCTCACTGGATGGTGGGGAAGGGAAATTAATCCTCCTCTTTAGGCAGATGACCCTTCAGGCTTCGGAGTTTGCAAGTGTACAGCTTATCCCAGGTGTAGAGGGCAACCCTCTTCATTGCCTAATGCCTCTTCAGGTACATAAAATGGATGTAGTGATGCACTGTCTCTAATTGCTTTTGCAAAGTCTGTTGAGACCTACTGGTGGAAAGAGGAAGATGTTAGTGTTTTCCACCTGCGTAGAGCCATTTCTTGAAGGTACCAGAAGGTCTGAAAAATGCACTGCATCGCACTCCTGTTGTGAAATGTGAAGAAAAAAAAAAAGGCAAAAAGAAAGAGTCTCTCTTAAAATGGCTGGTTCTGGGTTTGGCTCTGTGTGTAATGCAAAGGAAAAGGAACTGCTCGTGTTCAGCAAGTGAACATCTGCAGTTTCAATCCCACATGGCATGGACTAAGGCTGTAGGCTTCGTTGCTGTGATCTTTTCTTCTTCTTTTTAATAGTGCATGTAGCACAGGACTCTGTTCTTTGCCCTTTGTGGGACTTGGAGACTTTCCACGGTTTAATGTGAAAAAGGACTGCTGCCGAAGGAGCGTACTCATCCAGTTCGCTTTGAAGATGTGGCAGCGGTGTGTGTGTGTGTATTTGTCTCCTCCAAGGGTGTGTCCCACAGCTGCCGGATGCCTTCACTTTCATGGATTTCCCCTTGCACCAGTTTGTGATTATACAGATCCAATTAGCGCCGGCTCTGACACACACACCCTGCGGGCAGCATAGACAGCATCAAAAGGAATCACAGGGAGGCACTTGGTACCAGTTGAGGACTGAGAGGTTGGCTGTGCTCCGGTGCTTATTCAGAGCAGGGACTCCAGATAAAGTGCATCGTCACAGCCAAATATTTTTTAGAAATGTAAGTATGTCCTTAAAAGAAATGAAATTTTCTTTTAGACCGCAACATCATTGCATCTTTAGATGATTTCACTGAGGGCAGAGCTAAGGCTGCCTGACATATCTTGTGTGTATTTCCATAGCTGTTAAAATGGCTTCGTTTCATAAGTAACTTGCACTGCAGTCTTCTTGGGGGATTATTTCTATATGACTGTAATGTTTTGATGTTTAAGCTTCTGATATGTTTTTACTTCATTTAAGCAAACATTTTTGTCTTGGTAAAGAGTCACAGTACCTTGAAGACCCAAAGTCTCCATTAGTGTGCAGTATGGTAACTTGTCAGTACGGCTTCATTATCGGCATAACTCTAAAGTTTTACTAAAAGTGTATTTTTCTGTTGTTTGAACAGTCCGGTTAGAGTGTGGATAAGCCTCTGCATACATGCAGTTAGTGTCACCGAATCTATTTATCAGATTCCAAGGAGGAATGAAGAGGAGGCAGAACCTGGGGTAGCAGAGAATAATTTTTGAAATGTGTCAATCACTGGAGAAGGTAAAAAAAAAAAAGAGAAGTTATGGGCATACCAAAGATTTTTGTAAGGGGAAATGAAGCATCCTGTAATAGCCCTCTAATACAACTGCAAGAACAGTAACTGTGAGAAATGTAATTAAATGCAAGAAGTAAACAGGTTTTGAAAAAAATACAGACCTAACGTCAAAGCTTGCCCATGGGCCATCAGCAGCTCCCCTTCAATAGCCAGCCCCCAGAGGACGGACATCTTTTGCTTCCACGTCCTTTCCCAGAACTACCCCTTGACTCCCGCAGTGGCTATCAAATAAACCACGTACCTGCTGATTTCAAAAGTGATATACAAAGATCCCTCTCCCCAACTGTCAATCCATCTAACTACAATTAATATTAATGTGTTAAACTTGCCAGCAAGGAATTTCATTAGGAAAAAAAAAAAAGAGAAGGTTTTATTTTGTTTGACTAGGCTTGGCAGCTGTGGATATAGTTTCCTTTACTCTCATTTTTCTTTTAACCTTAATTAATTACTTAATTTAACCTTACAAACAATTAGCAATTGTAATTCACTAATAAAACCACACCAATCTAGTGATTTCTCCTCAGCCAAGCCTAGAGCTTGAGCCCAGCGGCTGTCACCAGGATTAAGCGCTTCAGGAAAATAAAAATTACACAAGCAATTAGGTGTGTAATGAATCAGAGGATTGTTTGTGTCGCACGTGGCGTGCTGCCTTCCTTGCCGGACACCCATGCTCAGCACTGTATCAAATAGTGCCGATCCCAGCCAAAGCGGAGATGTTTCGCTCTGGAACCTCTCTGGATGTCCAAGGCCATCTCGGTGCCAAGGGTTAATGGCGTAGTGTCGCTCATGTGTACGGAGGGGCTAAACTCCCTCCACCCTCAAAGAGCAAGGCTGTCCCCCTGCAGACTGGGAACAGTGCCCTGACCTCCCTAATCCCTCAGACCATGCCCAGGCTTTGTCAGGGTGAGTACTAGCCTTGCCGTGAACATGTTGATGATTAAAAAGACTGGATGATTGACGGTGAGCCTGGAGATTTCCTGACCTGATGCGAGCACCTGAGGTAGCTGTAGGTGCGTTGACTTAGTGCAGGAAGTGGCATCCCCCTCTGAGTAATGGTAAAAAAAATGTATTTATGCTCTCAAAAGCAGAGGAAGAATCTCAGGTTTAGGATTTTATAGTTTCTAAGGCAGGAAGTCAGGGAACACGTAGCCAGGCTGGCACTGGCAAGCATCCCTAAACACCACAGGCATTAATAATAACTAAATCTGAGTGGAGAGCAGTGAAATGTAGTTGATAAAGGAGGCTAGCACAGAAACAAAAAAATGATGAAATGGTATCTTGATAACGGACTCTATCTGTGGAGATTATTACAGACTCTTTGTGATGATAATTTGCTGCGGTAGCAAACAAGCATCTACTTCACTATAAAATGAGACATAGACCTCCTGAATGGGATGGGGTATATGGAGCAGTGCCTGCTGCAGGGATGCTAGCAAGAGATCGCAACCATCTTGTGGCCGAAGGAAATAGTGTAAAGTTATTTAGTGTGTCACGTAAAAAGGTGACCATTTGTGCTTATACAAGGTCTTTTATCAGCTAACAACATCAAACAATGCCAAGGATGTTGTGCTAATCTGTTCCTTGCAGCCTATCAACTGTGATACCCATACAGCAACATCTGTTACTGGGAAGGATGTAAAGTGACCTACTGCAGAACTAAAGCGAAATAAAATTACATTGTCCCTAGAAAGTAAAGTTATTTGAAATGAAAACCACTGGTCTATAAATATGAACAAGGTATATATTTGATCCAAAGCAATTCTGTTTATCCACAGTACGTGTATATCGGTAGATGCAGGACAGGTAACCTTTTTACATTAGCACTTATGTTGCTTATTTGTCAAGTGAATTTTTAGGTAATTTCGTGTTGGGGGTTCGCTGAGAGCAAAATGAGTAAGAGCTCATGGAAATGTCAAGCAGAACTGTCAGGTTTAACCATATGAACGGTCGCTGAAATAGCCAGTGACTTTGGCAAGGGGAAATACTCCCCTTTAAGGGGCACTGTTGGATGTGCAGAAACAAGCTTATCGGTGTTTGAAGGACCACTAACCCTTTCTCCTAGTTTTGAATAAAGGGTTCCCAATGACTCTAAAGCATTGTATGGGCGTTAGGGCTCCTGGTTACTTTGACTGAGGTGCTTGCACCTTTTCCAAGCTATTACCTATTCAGCTATGGGGAAAGTTTTTGGAAAATTAAGCCTACGTCCATCCTTTTCCTATAGACAATTGAATTTTTGGTCCACAGCAAGAGCAATTAACAGGGAGAGCTCATTCTTTTATTTCAGCCCTTGGTCTTTCTGGAGTATTTGTGCCTCTCACAAATGTTGCCTTATCCTCTCAGGAATGGAGAAGTCCCTGAACGTGCATGAAGCAGGGGACTCTTCTCCATGGACACCCAAGGTGCAGGCACAGAGAACCCTCAGTGGAAAACAGAGGAAAAGTGGGCGTGATTTTCAGTATGTCTTCCCCGTGCGTTGTCCCTGCCTTCTAATGATTCCACTCGGAGCAGTAGATACTGGACATTTCTCAATTTGCATTGCTGCATTTGCAGAAGCATCTGAGCATTTTGCATACACAGAACCTGCCGACTGCAAATCCGCCGGCTCTTGCCAGTTGTATTTTAGGTCCGTGCCAAATGGGCACACGTTCTGGATGAGCTAACATGAAATATAGTGGTAACACACAGAGTAGCAGTTTCACTTAGGGCCATGTTCGCAGCTTTACTCCCTGCCATGTTTTGTGGTGATTCCATCTTATGCAGCAGAAGAAGACGGCGGTATTAACAAGTGCCTGGGGTATTTGCTAACATGAGAACTGCTCAGATATGCTGCGTCACCCCAGCTCCTTTGGAGTCTCATAAAGTCTGGCTTTTAACAGCGAGGCTGCTGAGAAAACAGGCATAAAGCTATTTTGGGGCCTTCAAAGCTGGGAGAGGCTGGAGGTAACCTGGAGAGAAGGCAGCATTTCTCATCCATTGCATGGAAGGGCACGTGTTCTATACCTACAGAAGTCACCCGCTTAACACTGCTGCTATTACTATTGGTAAGATTATTAAATTATTACTTTCCAGGGAATAAGAAAGAAGTCTATCTTGTGTTGACACAAAATCCTTGCAAAAATGCAGTTTGCCTTCTCCCACTGCGGTCTCGGTCCTCTCTGCCTGACGTATCTTGGGTCTTCTTCTCACCTCCCTGTTTCTGCGTGGTTCTCTCCCTGAGGCTCTTGAGACTTCTCTGCATCACAGCAGCACATCAAAAAAGAGATGACCCCTTGAGATGCGACAGCACAGACGCATTTAACGTTCTTGCTGTTTCACAGAATTTGTTGTGGCATTGAACTCCGTGTGATGGGAAAGTAAACAACTCCAAACCTCGGAGCAAGGTTCCCTTGCTGATTCATTTTGGGGCTTTGTTCTGCAGGTCCTGTGTGACAGACATGTGCGAGTGTCCGGTCCATAAAAACTGCTACTGCGAGTCATTCCTGGCGTACGCCCGAGCCTGTCAGAGAGAAGGGTTGAAAGTCCAGTGGGTACCGGAGCAGAACTGTGCAGGTAAGCGTTTTGGGACTGCTTCTTTGTAAGCCACTGCATAGGCTAATAGGCTACTATCCTTTTGGTGGTGGAGGAGGATCAAAAATGAACTGGATAGACGGGGTGGGATTGCGCCAGTAGGGAAGTTGCATTCTGAATTATGAAGAAAGACCTTACTAGGAAAGATCTTCAACCATCAAATATTAGAAATGTTTTTTTCGCTGCAAAACTTTTCACCTCTGATGCTGCCTATCTTAATTTTATGTACTTCCAGGAAGAAGTACATGCCTTTTTCTTTCAGGATATGTAAACAGTTGATTACAGATAATGTTTAAACCTCCTGTTTAAGACGTTATATTTCCAAAGACAACACGCATCTATGATTGCAGCACGTTCAACAAGAGAAGAGCAGAGAATGTATTTAATGGAAATATTAAAATACAAACCTGCCTTAATTTTGGTACTTGAACCAGATCCCCCATGTGATTAGGACTGTATTAATTGCAAGTAATTGTGAGTAATTGTTTCCATGAGAAGTGGTGGCCTGTGGTCACGGGCACTTGAGGTAAAATGCAATATTGCAGATGAATATTTCCCCTGATGATGGTCTCATTAATTTAGAACATTCTATAATGGCACCAGTTTGCCTGGAAATCTATTCAGATTTATGTAAAGCAATTGACAGTAGTTGGAAAAAAAATGAGAGAAGGCTACTCAGTGCTGGTCAAAGAGCTATTACTCTGTGGTCCATTTTGGTGATTGTGTGTGGCTCAGGGTCTACTTTCTCAACTTGAATTTCCTTTTATGTTGAAGGCATGATAGCAGGGATGGGTGAGTGACAGAGCAAATTACATTTGATTGACTGTTCCTGAAAGGCTAATTTTTTTCTTACAGAGGAACAGACCAATCTAAACAGGGTGTCACTAAGTGAAAGCCCTATTCAAGGATGTGGTCTCAGACCGCGCTAATAACGCATGTAATTTTAGTCTATTGATCTGGCAGCAGATCCATGCAGAACCTGAAACAAGCATCCTGACTTTTTTTTTTCTTCACCAAAGCACTTCAGACTGAGACCTCACTGTGGTAGATGCTGCAAAAAGAATAAAAACTCCAGTCCCTGCCTTAAGGAGTTTATATAAGTGTTGGCATATCATGACTTAACTAATTGAGACTTCTTTTCACATTTTTTTCTGGCATTTTACCAAAGACAAGAAAAGTTTCTAAGACAAAAACAGTCCTTCAGAGAACATTATGAAGGCATTTAAACACACATATTCCGTTAAAGGTAATGAAAGAAGTGTTTAAATCCACTTGAGTTTTTTAATTTCAGTGTGGACTTCTAGATGGAAAGGGGAAATCTTGTTAAGCATAAAATATAGATAAGCTGTTTATGATCAAGCACCCTCAAAACACTTACTTAAGCATCCAATGTCAAACAAGTAGCCCCATCTTCTACAATAAATCATACAGTAAACATTAAATTAAAGTGTGTCCACTGCACTCCGTATGTTCCCGGTGGCCAGCATCAGGATTTTAACCTTTAACTTACTTTTTTTCTCCCCAAAACTTGTAGTTACAATTACTATGTCCTAATTATGGATAAAAGTTCCTGGGTATGAAACAATATATCCGTAATAAAACTTTAGTGTTCTGTGACTTTCATTTCCTGCTTGACATTTCATAGCTGGTGGGATACTTGGAAGAGCTGTGTTCTGATGAAAATGGAGTATACTTATTAGTGAAGTCAGGTTTTAATTATTCTTTTGTGTGTTATAAAACCAGATCTTGTGTGGTTGCCAGTTCTTCTACTCTGTCTGCTGTACGCTTAGCTCATTTTTATAATCTTTAGAAAGCTTGTGTTGTCTGGAGGGCCAGCCAAACAGGATGCTCAGGAGGCTGAATTACATGTCCTGTTCCCTACATGCTCTTCTTATTCTTCCTCTCAGTCCTCCGTGAAATACTGCTGCTCAAGGTTTGCGGTCCTTTGAGGTTGGCTGAGTAAGGGGAAACTCAGCTGTCATTTAACCGGAGGGGTGAAGAGAAGAAGGTAATCAGTAAGGAAAATGGTTATGGTAGGAAGGGGTTGGTGAGATCTGCACCGGAGCTGAGAGGGTTTGGAAAGGAATATGGGTTTCCGCAGGAAGCAGTGGGGAGTGAGACCTGTTAGGATGGGCACAGGAAGGAATATGGGGTATGAAGGAGAAGAAAAAAAGAACAGAAAGGGCAATGTGAGGGAAAGAAGAAATAAGAGAAAGTGATATATGCGAGAGGGAAAAGAAAGGATACAGATGGAAGCAAGAGGTTTGAAAAGGAAAGGCGATTATAGAAGAAGTTTTTTTTTTAAGCCCAAGAGAGGCTAAGCAAGCAGTTTATAAAGTGCAATTAAGTAAACTGAAGTAGTAAAAGGCCTCGGGCTGTAGTAATTTAACACTGAATTTCTGAGGACTTTGTGAGAAAGAAGACTCAAGGATGGCAGATGGCAGTAACTCCCTGCCATGGGCAGGACTACACAGGCAAGAAGAAAAAGCAGATATGGGCTGTAATAAAGTGCAAAGTGCACGCGGTAGCGCTGATATGCTGACATGCTCCAACAGCCTTATAAAAACTGAACAATTTTCTCTTTTTCCTATGTGATTGGTTGAACTAGAGGAGGATGGGTGTATATCTGATTTTGATTCTTCTCTCCTGCGGAATTTTCTGGCCAGAGTCACTCTTTTTCCCTGTTACATGTTGCTTTCCTTTAATCACTTTATTCCATGTGAATATGTATCAGAAGGCTATTCTGACTTTTCAGTGGAAGCTTTTTAAAAACTGGAAGTTGAAAAGATTAACACAAGTGTATCATTGGAAGGTCAGTGCCCAGATCTATTGCCTTCTACTATGTTAGAAGGAGATGTTGTGAACTGCAAGCAACACAAGTGACATTGCGCTGGAAAGTCCTACAAAACACCTCGAAAGCCCAAATTGTGCAACACCAACAGAGAAGCAGGATGATTCATTGATGCACTATAATATTAGCTCAGAATTTTCTGTGGGATCAGATTTACCAGATATCATCCACCAAGAGAATCCTTCAGCAGGTATTTGGGCTTTTTTATTAGAGAAAAAGAATTCCTCCTAAATAATTATGGCCATGTCTACAGGGACAGGCACAGAGAGATACAAACCTTCTTTGTGAAACTGCCAAACTGGCTGGAATAAACCAGCTCTGGTCTGAAAACTGTATAGCCTTATTAGGCAGGGTTTATTAGCTCAGGCACAGTGCTGTATTTATGTGACTATATGGCTTCTGGACTGGAGCTAGCTATCGTCCCGCCAGCTCAGAAAGCGGTCTGAGGAAGCTCGCATCTGTCATGCCAAACACATGTTCTAGAAGAAGAGTGGAAAAATCCTGTTGGGACTGGTAACGTTGCAAAATGCAGTATTATTAGTAACTTTTGTACTTTGAGGTTGGGTTTTTGATTTTTTTTTTTTTTTTGCTAATACACTAAGGAAGTTATTACTAACAGAGCTCAGTTCTTTAAGAGAGAGATTTGCCTTAAAAGACTGGTGCAAAGGCGTCACTTCTGTTTTCATGTTTACATGGTGCTGATTCATTTCACCAGTCCCTGGGAAGCCTACTGCAGAATCTCTTTATTTTTTTAAACTATTGATGAAGTGGAATGTTCTGGATCAATCACACCACACGTTAACAACCGAAGCACTCAACAATAAAAGCCATCCAGCTACTCCAACAACAGCAGCCATTGTACTTTTCTGATTTTTCCCATGACAGCAAGTTAATAATGCGATTATAAACTGCTTACAGCAGAAAATATCATACCTTCTACACGGCATCATCTGAAGGAAAAGGAGATGTTTTGATGTACCACATCCATGTGTGATAGAGCAGAGCTGGGGAGTACTTACAGGTGTCGCGGCTGCCAAGAGCAGACTGCAGTATGTTCTCATTTGCTCTGGGGCAGGGATGAAGAAGTGGAAAGGAGACCTTGGCCAACTTGCTTCAAACCCACAGACCAAGGCATTAAACAAAGCTGAGGTGGAACGAGGGGGACAGCTATTACTGCAGTAAAGCTTTGTGGGATGAAACCTGCGCAGCCTAAAAACTGAAGCTTGCAGACCTTTCTATATGGAAACTGCATGTACTGAAGCCTAATGTTTCAGTTTGGGGTTGGTCAGTCAGAGATCTTTTGAAGGGAAACTCATTTTCAGAGCAGAGGGACAAAAGCTTCTGGTAAGCAGCCCCCTTAAGGTAATTCACTTTGTGTGTGGACAATCACTATCTGTCTTTGAATATCTTGGTCTACTTTTCTAGACAGTTAATACATTGTTTGCAAAGCTCCTGGGAGCTCTGCACATTTTCGTTTCCCCTCTTATAGAGATTCAATCTCTATTCTTAACACACTACCTAAGTGCAGAGTTTGTTGTGAATCTAACATTTTACTGTACGCTCACTACTGCTTGCATGTTTTTCCCACCTTCTAAATTTCCCATTTCATTTAAATTTCATTGTAGTTATTCCTTTTGTTTGTTCCTTCTTTAGTCTGCATGAAAGTTTTCATGCAGAGCAAGATGGAAATGTAAAGCTGGAAAAAAGTTCTCAAAAGATCTATGCCTACAAGCTGAATAAGCCTATCTTGACCATTGCTGAAAGATGCTTTTTCCAACCTATTCTAAAATGATGTTCAATAAAAGGTGTCTCACAGAGTTTTTAGGTAGCTTCCTCCAGTGCTTTCTCATGCTTAAAGCTAGAAAAATTTTATTTTCCTAATATCTATCTAATATCTAATATTCAGTTGTTGATTCTCTGTAACTCCAGGGTCATTTTCTGCTGTACTGTCCAATTTTTCCAATTTTTTTTTTCTTATTTAATATCTGTATCCTGAGAACTTTGTATGCATTCTTGCCAGAATTCCTTCTTCAGGGCTGCTTTTCACATGGCATATATGCCATAAAATGCATAAGAAGTAAAACTTGCAAGAAGCTGATGCTGTTTTGACGGTTACTTTGTTAATGGTGAGGAGGAACCCCTTAAATTTATGATTTCTTAGCACTAAGACTTCCATTCTCTGTAATACACTCTTATACATATTTAATCAATTTATTTCTGCCTATTTTCTCTTTATGAATAATAATAGTACTGTAATGGCACTCTAAGACTGATCCTCACCAAGAAAACAGCATTTTTCTCTCCATAGCAGAACTGTTCTTTAAAAAATCTGGACCTTCAATCTCTCTCAAAATGGAAGAAACCTTCTTAATGCAACCACCTCTGTGTGAATAGCAAGAGATGATTCTGGATGCTGGAGAGTCCCTTACCATCTATAAACTATTTTATCAGTACTTGTTTTTGCCATCAGCACAGCCGTTAGAAAGAATAACAGACTTTTATTTGCTATCGAACCATGTATTATTCTCCATACTAAAAAGACAGGATATAAAATGTTAAGAGTTTAAATATTGATCTGGAGGGAGTATAGTGCTTTTAGCTGAGCCCTCAGTGGTCTCTTATGTTGGAAATGCATTGAACTGTCACTACATAAATCAATGAATAGATATTGGAATCATTAAGTACAAGAATCCTCATTCTCAGTGATCCCTCGGTAAAATAGCATAAAGCATGGAAATAATTGATTTTTTAAATTTTTGTTTTGTTTTGTTTTAGATATGGTGCTGCTGAAAAAAGCAAAGCATTGCTTTGGTTTGCTGCAATATGCAATATTGAAAGGATAATCTTAGGAACAGAAAGTCTGATGTGGTGAATGACTCTCCTTTCTCCCCTTCTTTCTGTAGGAATGGGACTGATAATTACTGTCTGTCCTTGTAAATGTTTCAGGAACCTTCGATAAAAGGCATTGTAACAAATAAATAAACAGTGTTAAGCCTTAAATATAGAGCATGGATCTGCTTATAGATAGAACCCTTGTCAAAGCTTTATATACCATCAACAGAGTTAAGTTGTCAAAAAGTTCAAGACTGCTTGATACCTTTTTGATTAGGAATTTTGTTACCTTTATATTTGTGATGTAAAGTAGCGTTGCATTTAATATAGTGGAATCTCTTTACAAGTAATTTTTTCCTCTAGATGATCGTCATACAAAAATGTGCTTTAAGATATTTGCAGTAGAAACCAAACACATGGATGTGTAACTTTCCACGTGGGACTCTGTGTAATATGCATATTTTTTTCCTTTTAACTGCCTTTCAGCAACCCAGTGTAAACACGGTGCAGTTTATGATACCTGTGGTCCGGGATGTGTCAAAACATGCGACAATTGGAACGAGATTGGCCCATGCAACAAGCCCTGCGTTGCAGGGTGCCACTGTCCGGCAAATTTAGTTCTTCATAAAGGAAGATGCATCAAGCCAGTCCTGTGCCCACAGCGATGACAGTTCTCTTTCCACGGACACTAATGCGGGTGGCTGCTGACCCCTTTGATGCTCACAGCCAGTGAAGGACTCCAGCTGTTTGTGTGCAGATTCTGCAAAGTACACGTCTACTCACAGAGTGTAAATATGCTCCTGTGTGTGTATTTATGTGTGTTTATGTATACACACATGGCACCTAGAAAGATATATCAATGTATAGTGTGTGTATGTAGATACACATATCTATACACAAGTGCCCTAAACGTAAGTACAACCCATATATTTATATATATGTCCACACACACAAATATACATCATTTCTATATATCATAGAAGGATGAATTATTATATGTATATTTTTTGCTATAAAGTTTATGTATTATTATTTCTAGGACCCTGATCTGTAAGTCATTGTATAAATAAACCAGGTGTTTTTAATATAATATAGTGGCATGAAAAGATTGGATGACTTTGCCGTTGCCTAAGTTTGTCGTTTCCAAGGAAACTTTTCTAGGGCCATAGCACTGCCAGACTGGATTAGTTTCAACACAGAACCTGGATTTACAGTTGAACAGGAAACACATTTCTCTGGAGATGGAGGATTTATCTAGGAATATTTCATGCGTACCTTAGAGCCGCATAGTGATTGGTGACAGTGCTTAATCAGGCAGAGAAAGCTGGGGATCGGCTTTTATACTTTACTGAAATAACTGTGCAAAACGATTTCCAAAGCTGGTTGGCCAACTGCCAGCATAGAGACATTTCTTTCTGGAATGGCACCAAAGAGTCAGGGGCCAGATTTTCGAAAGTGTTCAGCACCCAGCAACTCGCTTTGAAAACGTGACCACTTCCCATTTCATATCCTAGTGCCCCGTCTCTGTTGTTGTGTTTGGCAGTAGCTGTGAATATACAATAAGGAGATTGAAGAAAAAATTCATGTACTTATTAGCCCCTTTAACATGTTTGAAACTGCTGGGTTTGTTTCGTATTTCCTCCAAATATTATGCAGAAAGAAAATCCCACTGTGAATTAGAGTGTTTGATTTCCGTGTGCCTTAAAACATGAAATAATGCCGGGTTTAGTAACTCATTTAATTTATCAGCATGGTTTAGAAGAAAGACAAATTCACCCCACCAAAAAAACAGTAGAGAATGTCAAATGCTAATTGGAGAACTGCAGTGTGTTTCCTTACTGGTCTTTTGCTTGAGGTTTACGAACATGTGGGCTCTCTGAAGTTTGCATGACTTTTGAAGTCTCCCAAGGGAGAATCAGTAAGACGGGATTTCATTAGAAACTGTTAAAAAAGCCATACAACTTTCTCAAGCCTGAAGGGAGGGTGGGCTAGTTTTCTTCCACTGGAAAACCTCTTGTAGAGCCTGATGGAACGGTCTCTGGAGATGACAGAAATCTTTGGGCATCTGATTTAGGTTTATAATGAAGTAATATCCTCCCACACAGCTACTTCCATTATGCCTTGCATTGAAATTGCACATTGTAATGCTTTGAACAATTTTCTCCTTGAATTCTTCACTCTCCAAGAAGTTTTGCAAGGTCTGAGTTTACGGTCAGTGAGTGGGTGCAACACACTTGGATTGTACAACCTGTCTGCGATCCTGTCCTGCAGGAAGATGCTGAGTGAGCCTGGTTAGCTTAGGCACCACACTATCCAACGTGCTGCACCACCACAGTGTTAAAAAGAGCTGGGCAAATAATGCCAGAAGCTTTCCATGAACATTTATCCAAATCTTAAATAAACTCAGCTTGATCTTTTTATGTCCCCCTTGAGTTCGTTTTCTTGGAACAATCAAATAGTTCAGTTTTACTGGCAGAGAGGGTTTTGAAGCCACATACACAAGTGCACTGGGAAGCAGAATTGCAAATGTGCAGATCCCATCAGAGCAGGGAGCTAGAAGAGTTTTATGCGGCTCATGTGATAATTGAATGGCAAAGCTGAAATTTAGAACAATTGCAGTTGATCCAAGGAGTTAAAGTATAAAATCACAGTCATTAAAATAATTTAAAGCATCAGTTAGACAGAAGAACATTTCAGCCTGTTAGCTTTCGATGCTGAGATATGGGGTCTAAACCATTAAAAATGTTATTTGCCTAGCTCTAGTTTAGGATAGATTTTCATTACTGATAGATTTTCATTACATACTGCTCAGCGTTTCCAAAATGAAAATACAGGCAAAGTGAATTGCATACATGAACGGTGTATAGAACTGTCCTTCCCTTTTCTTCTCCTGACTGATAAAGGTGAGTGAAAGGTGAAGGGAGAGCCCTCCAGCTCTCTCCGTCCACTGATCGCATTCAAGCAATGCTCAATCGATGCCAGGTGAAAAGATGACTCAGTCATTCTGCAGGACAAACTCTATTTTTAAATCTTAAAATGGTTCCATTTGAAACCTGACCTACAGGTCATCTCAAAATGAGGACTCATTCTTTGGTTTAGCTTTTTCACATCCACCTAATTAAGGATAGCCTCCTGCTTGTTGCTTTAGTGATGCAGACTGAGGAAGTGAGGAAAGCAGTTTTATCTCTAAGCTGTCTGATCGTACCCTTATGGTGCTGTAGAGCTTTTTCCTCCAAACTCCACAGTTTTCAAGGCAACAGTAATGGCTGTCATCTGCTCAGTTGACATGTACAGGCTAAGGTAAAGGAGTTCTGCTTCTCTAGAAATTGCCCCCAAGTTTCAACTTGGCACAGGTCTTATATCTGTGTCTGTATTTACCCTGTGCCCAACTGAGCTATTCAGACCATGTCAGTCCCAGACCACATCTTCCAGGCTATTCGACAGTTGAAAGTCTAGCCCCATAACATCAATAATGGCATTACCACTGGCCTCATAGAGTTTGGGTTGCAGCCCACCTTCCTCCTTAGTGCAGCATTCTTTCTAATTCTGCTGGCTTGGCTCATGAAATATTACCCCTAGTATGCTAGGGCTCATGAAATATTACCCCTAGTATGCTAGGGCTGGAAACTTCCTGCATATCACTGGGGGTTTATTTTTGACAAAATTCACCGATAATCCAATTTTAGCATGCTGAATGTGTTTAGTACACAATAATGTGGTTTTAATAATAGCATAAGGTTGGTAATCCATACAGTATATTCACCGTGCAAAACTGATGGTTGTGTAAGTTTTGGTCTTGATTATGCCTGTGTCAACCTGTGCATATAACTTTCTGCCAATGTGTAAGGTGAAATATATTTGAAGGAGCAGAGGTTCCAACCAGAGAATGATCCAAACGGAAACTCTGAGAAACGGCTCTGTGATCCAATGGATGGAATCAAGGAAAGACTTGGATCAATAGCTTCACCATTAACCTGCTATGTGTTCCCTGGCAAGTCATTTAATATTCTGTATTACTTTGGGGAAATGAGGCTCTGGGTTTATCCATCTTTTTTAAGTTTGCAGATAGAAAATGCTCTAAAATGCCATACGTCACCAGGGGAGTGTCAACTGGTATTTTACAAATCTAGTCAGGTCTGCTTTGCATCAGGTTGTCTCATACCTCCCATATCACCATCACTTCAAAGTCAGCTTTTGGTCGGCATACGTGGAGGTCAAATACATTTACTTCCTCCTCATTTACTTTCAGTTGTGTCTATTTTTGTCATATATGTTGAGTTTTATAAACCGTGGAGACAAGCCATAGCCAAGCAGAACAATTTGAGTTGTAGCCCAAGACTCTGTAGGTAGTCCCACATCTTCCAAGAACACCTTTCTTCTATAGAGTAAGGTATGCACTTGGAGCAAAAAATCAAAAAATTCTTAATATCCTACCCAAATGTGACCCCATCCTTGCGTCACATAAGTATTTGCTGTAGATAACCCAAAAGAAGTAAGTTGTTCTCATCAGAGGCTTTTCAACTTTTTTTGAACACAGGATTCAAATAGAGTTTGACACTGCTTGGCTTCCCACTGACAGAACCTGGCATTTGCAAGAGCTGGGCTGATCTTGAGTGACTGTACAGGAATACTTTTTTTTTTTTTTTGTCTTCATCAAAAATGGACAAAGTTATCTCAGAGCTGACCGATAAGAGAATAACAGCCCATGCATTTGCAGCTGGACAGGCTGGAAAGAGAGGCAGTCAACAGCGTTTAGCACTGCAGTGGTCAGATGTTTCAGGTATTTCAGGAACAGTCCTGACTAAGGGGGTGTTATGCCAAGGTCTTGGTATTTGACAAACAGGAACTTTACATTACAAAACGCTAATCAAATGCTTGTTCTGCGATCCCTCATTTTAGCATTTTAGAAAGCTCTGTGGTGAGAGAGATTATTCTGCTTCCTTACAGAAACATTTCTAGTCTACGACTGCAAATTTTTCAGGACAAAGGCCTAACTGTGCTGCTGTTACAGTTCTCTCTCTGCTTAAAGGTTGTTGCACAGATTAGTCTTTCTAGTGCCATAATCACCATGACACCTGAACACCAAACAGAGTCTGTAACGACAAAATGAACACGAGGTAGCTCTTGATCCCTCAGACGGCTATGGCACTGTGTTTAAATGAAGATGGTACGGTAATGTGAGGAAATAAAGATGAAGGATGGCAAACTAAGGGTAAGAAGCAAATGAGAAAGGTGAAAGTAGTAATAGGGTTTTTTTTCGATGTGGATATTTTCCCTCTAAATGGTAAGAACTATACTGAAAGTGTTCTCTGGCAAAGGCCAAGTACATCCGTACTCCCTGAGCAAAAAAACCACCCCACCAACCACCCAAAAAACTCAAGTCAACCACGGCGGAATTGTGTGTTGAGATCTGAATAGAACAGGTGTGTATTGGCAGGTATAGAAATCCATAATTAAAATAAAGTTATGCGTGTTTATTCCTACTTTTCTCACAACCCTTAAATCACAGTAGAAGATGTCACGGAAGTTAAGGAAAGGGATCTTATTTCCTGGGCTGAGATGAGACAAACCTGCAGAATTCTGTTCTCGTGCTTCCACTAGCACAACAAACCTGTTTTGGTTTCCTACAGGATATATGTTTTAGTGAACACACATTTCCCAGTCTACAACTGTCAGAACAAAGGCTACAAATGCACTTTTGTAACTAGTCTTGTTCCTGGCTTTGAGATAAAACTGCAAGTTCTACTTGCTACTAAGATGGCACAAGTTTTCTTTTTGACAACGCCACTTTTACCAGGCAGCAACGTTGCTCAGCATCAAGCAGCATCTTAGAAACTCTAAGCAGAGTTAGATATGACACGCAGCGTTTGCTATTGGCATGACTTTACCCTTTTCACTGTGAGTTATGAGTTACTGCTAGCCCTGCCTACAGGAGGAAGCTGGCTCTGATGGAGTGTGTACGTGTGGGGGGAGAGCAGTGGCATTGTGTAATGACCATTATCATTGATAGCGCTTTGTATTTCCCTAAGTGATGCTTATACCTGGGCATCGGTATGGTTTGGTTTTGCACATGAAAGTGAGACGATGGGAAT